AGCAGAGGGGACTATTTTTAAAATATTTATTGGGCTGAGATCTGATAACAGAAAAGATGAGGAGGAAGGTAAACCGTTCCAGACTCGACTGCAGAAAATACGACTTCAGCAACAGAGTGGTCAATGCCTGGAATGCACTACCTGACTCTGTAGTTTCTTCCCCAAACCCCCAAAACTTTAACCTTAAACTGTCTACTGTTGACCTCACCCCATTCCTAAGAGGTCTGTAAGGGGCGTGCATAAGTGCACCAGCGTACCTACCATCCCTGTCCTAATATTCCTTTTTACTTACTCTTTTCATGTATTCAAATTATGTTTATACTTTAACTGTTACTTATATATGCTTGACATATAAACTTACGATTATGATTATGATTATTTGAATAGTGTTTTCTCCCCCTTCCCACCCAAACTTGAAAAGTGGATTAAGCCTCTTGATAAAGAGTCAGATTATAGAAACAGGAAGAGCCAGAGAGGGGACCTAGAGTTCCTTAAGACCACTTAGTCTACCCATATCCTGCTATGTGTAATTCAGCTGGTTTTGGTTTTTTTTTTAATTGTTCACATATTTTTTTTATTTTTTATTTTTATTTATTTTTATATGCCACCCTTCTCCGGAGACTCAGGGCAGCTTACAATGCGTTAAGCAATACCCTTCATACTTTTGTATATTTTATACAAAATCAGCTTATTGCCCCCACAAACCGGGTCCTCATTTTATCTACCTTAGAAAGGATGGAAGGCTGAGTCGACCTTGAGCCTGGTGAGAATTGAACTCACAGTAATTGCAGGCAGCTGGATGTTAAATGCTGCCTTAGTAGGAGGCATTAGCCTCCTATGCCACTCAGGCTCATTGCTTGCATGGCCCCAAGAATGTTCTGTTCATTTTTCAAAGTATGCATTGGTGGACATGATAATGTCAGCATTTCCTTCGAAAATTACCTCCAATTTAGAGATGATGTCTCTGGGCAAATGTAGTAGCGTTCATCTTTCCCACAATTCAGTTCACCTCCTGATGTTCCCGTCTTTCTCAGTCATAGCCCTTGATTGTAAACTTTTGAAATTCCCCTTTATGACATCATTGACTAACTGCAGACACTTGTTCTGTTATTACAGCAGCCGCCTTTCGAAGTGGAAGCACAGATGCCTATTTTAGTACAAACAGAAGACTTTATTAAGTAACCAGCTTCTTAATTCATTAGGGCTAACTATCCCTTAGCTATTGTAACAGTTAATAAGTGATCCAGTGATATGAAAAGGATGAGGTATGGTTCTCAGGAGGGCTGTTCGAACAAAGTCTCCTCCCATTCTGGTGATCTTGCTAAGGAATATTTTTCTATTGTAGGTAGTCAAAATGAATTGCTTTCCTGTATCCTGACAACGCTGTTTTCTTTTGAAAGAGATGGAGTTCTGAGTGAGTTCACCTCTTTTTACAAATATCATTGGGTAATGTTCTTTTGCATGAGCTAACTGCAACCTGGAACATTAAATAAGAGAATCCTTGTAAACAAGCATTAGTCTCTCTCAAAAGTCATCATGGTTTGGCCTAAGGTGTTTTGTTGCTTGAAAGAGAATGGCTAAGGAATAACAGCACAATGGAATAACAGAGTTGGAAGGGATCTTTGGAGGTCTTCTACTGGACTAGAAGACCTCCAAAGAGGCTTTGCTGGCTGAGGAACTCTGGGAGTTGAAGTCCACAAGCCTTAAAGTTGCCAAGGTTGGAGATCCCTGTTCTAGTCCAACCCCCTGCTCAAGCGGGAGTCCCTATACCCATGATGGCGAACCTATGGCACAGGTGGCACACAGAGCCATATCTGTGGGCACATGAGCGTTGCCCTATCTCAGCTCCAGCGTGCATACTGGAGGCTTCTGGAGGACATCCATGGGGGTGGGGAAGGCCATTTTTGCCCTACCCAGGCTCCTAGAAAGCTTCTGGAGCCTGGGGAGAGCGAAAAACGGGTCTTCTGGTCCCTCCAGAAGTCAGGAAATGGGCCGTTTCCAGCCTCTGTGGGGGTGGGGAAGGCTGTTTTCACCCTCCCCAGGCTCCTTGAAAGCCTCTGGAGCCTGGGGAGGGCGAAAAACAGGCCTTGTGGGTCCACTGTGCCATCATGTGCCAAAAGCGGGAGGAGTGCGGGGGGGTTGTGCACACATGCGCGGGGGGGAGCATTGAATTATGGGTGTGGGCACATGTGTGCGTGACCCCCCTCACCTGATCCCTGCTTTGGCACGTGATGGCAAAAAGGTTAGCCATCACTGCCCTATACCATTTCAGAGAAATGGTTGTTCAATCTCTTCTTAAAAACTTCCAGTGTTGAAGCACCCACAAGTTCTGGAGGCAAGTCATTCCACTTGTTCTCACTGTTAGGAAGTTTCTTCTTAGTTCTAGGCTGGGTCTAGAAGGATCTCATCTCTTCTGATGTCCATATGCTTCAGGGGCAGGTTTCAAAACCCGTCGCTACTGGTTCACTTGTGGGCACGCTCGCACTTGCGCTCCAGCACATCCGGGCAAGTGGGCAGAGCCTCCCATCGCTGCCACTACCAGTTCGCCCGATCTGGGGTGAACCGGTAGTAGCCCACCACTGATATGCTTGTATATACACCCACCCACACATAATGCATAATACTCAAGGAAGATCATGGTATTTTTCACCCTGACATAGAAAATCACATAAAATTCTATCCCTCCCCAGAATCCAAAATACAGTAATAAAGGAATTAAGTACAATAATATTTTTTTTTTTAAAAAAAACAAGATTTATTTTCTGCTCTTTTTGGGACACTTCAATCAACTGCTTAGTCATCTTCACTCTGCCATCTTCCGCAGACTGAAGGTCTCTTCCAATTGCTTTCAAGTGCCACAAGTTGTTCCCAGTTAACAATTTTTCAAAAAAAATATTTATTTATTTATTTATTTATTTATTTATTTATTTATTTATTTATTTATTTATTTATCTAGTTAGTTAGTTAGTTAGTTAGTTAGTTAGTTAGTTAGTTAGTTAGTTAGTTAGTTAGTTTATATAACCGCCCAACTTGCTCATGGTGATTCCAGGCATCTTATAGAAATTAAACCCCAGGTATAAAACCCATTAACCCTTCCCTCAGTGACAACAATCAAATAGCAATTTAATAGTAATTTTTATTAAAAATTACAGCTACGATGATAAAAATACTAACCTAAAAACATCGAATTGAAGTTTTTCTTTGGGCATTTTGTGGGTCTTTTAGGGTTAAATGGTATCCAGTCAAGGGCTGTTGTCTTTCAGAGGTGATATGTTCATCATAGAACTTGACTTTGCCATTTCCAGGAAGCTATCTACTTCATTATGTCACATACTCCTCACATGGATCCTGGTGGCAGATCCATTATTTCTTACCTTATTATGTTGTATTACGTTAAAAATTTGCCATTCCATGCTTCTTCCTGCAACTTGCATCTTCTGTACTGCTTTCGGGTTTAACATACAATTTCACAGCCTTACCTCAGCATAAATAGCTTACATGGATTAAACACTTTCCTCCTTAAGCAGGTTTGGTGTGTTGATTTTGAATACCACATGAAATTGTCCAAATGCGATACAGGCAAAAGGACAAGGACATATTTTCATATGGCATAAAATAAGAGACACATTAATGCAGTCCTGGAGGGAAATAAGGCAAAAGCAGTATACGAAAGTCCCGAAATGGCTCTCCACAATGGAGGCCATAATATATCCTAATGTCTTAGAAATTGGAAAAATGTTCAAGTACAAGGACATTTTAGATAGTGGTGGGAATCTCAAAACGAATGAGGCATTAAAAGAACAAGGCATCCATATTGACTGGTGGCCGTATGTACAAATTAAGTCCCGATACCAAAAAGACAAGGAGGAATTTGGTATAGAAATAGGAGCCAATGGGCTCGATAAGATATGGATGGGAACGGAAAATAAACTATTAGCCAAATTATATAACTATTTGCTTGATTATGATAGGGTAGAGGAGGTAGTCAAAGAGCAAATGATTGCATGGGCTAAAAATATTGGATGCAGTATAAACCTAGACGAATGGGAAACAATCTGGAACAGTAATCTTAATTTGACAAGGGCAATAGCGTATAAAGAAAACCAATATAAAATACTATACAGGTGGCATTTAGCCCCTACTAGGATAGCAAAAATTTACCCTAACACAAGCCCAAATTGTTGGAAATGTGGCCACCATCAAGGCACCTTCTATCATATGTGGTGGACATGCCCCGAAGCGACGAAATTTTGGAAAATGATTCGAAGATGGACTCAAGAAATAACAGAGGAAAATATCGATTTGGCACCCGAAACTTTTCTCCTGGAAATACTGAAAAGGACATATGAGAAAAAAAAGAGGTACCTAATTATGCATATCATTACAGCTGCCAGAATAATATATGCACAGTATTGGAAAGAGAAAGGGCTGCCACTGGAAGAACATGTAATTAGAAAAATATTAGAATGTGCTGAGATGAATAAGTTAACATATGTGATAAACGAAAAAGAGAACTCGGAATATTACACAGTGTGGGAAATGTGGTATAAGTGGATGGAAGATAAAAGTAAAAGATAGAATAAGGGAGGGTGCAACTATCAATAATAATCAAATAATTAGGGAACACCATGTATATAATCTGTATATATTCCGCTAAACCGAAAATTGTTAAATTGTATTATCATGTATTTCAGTAAAAAAAAATTTAAAAAAATGAGTAGATACAACATTTAAAGTATAAGATAGCCAATTATTTAAACGTATATTATTTTAAGAAAAATACATGTAACATTTTTTTTCTAAAAAAAAAAGAAAGAAAGAAATTGTCCAAATGCTCTCAAACCTAGTACAATACAGTTCAGAGCTTCTTTTGTGACATCACTCTCCATGGTAACCTTTTGACTGAGGTAAGTGCTGATTTTCTCTAGTTCATCATTTTCCATTTTGACTGGCAACAGTTGGAAGTAGTTGTACATCATGACTTGTGTCATCTCCAAATTTACTTTCCAGCTTGATAACTTGCTGCCATCATTGAATTATGTTATTTATCTTTGAAGATTTTCACCACTGTTGGAGAAAAAAATCAAAAGGTAGGCTGTTAAATTGTTCACTACTCATCTTATTTTTACTTTTGACCAGTTCAGTCGTTTGGATATGTCTTGTAGACTTTCTAAGAAAAGTTTTGGTAGACTTTGAATACCTTGCCACACTCCTTTTCGCATATTGATGATGATAGTCTTTTCATTTATGTAGAAACTATGACATTTCTGTATGTTGATTTCAGGATCGTGTATCTGTAGGGCTTCAAATATAGCACTCAGTTTAACAGAGCCAAACATTTTTTCAAAGTCAATAAAGATTAGGCAAATTGCTATACTTGATAATGGGATGAACCACTTGCATATGATCTGTAATGTTAAATTAATATTTCAAATCAGTTTGTTCCTTTGGTTGAACAAAGTCCAGTATCATTTTGATCTATTTTGAAATAATCCGTGTGAAAAGTTTGAAAAGAACAAAAAGAAGTCTTACAATTCTGTAGTTTCTTATATCTTCTTGATCATCTATTTTTCCCCTGTGATAATGCTTTGGCATCTTTTCATCATGATGGCATATTTCTTTGCTGCAAGCAGCAGGTAAATATTTTTTACCGATATTTGTGTTTCATGATTTAAAACATCTCTTGAAACATTCTGTTCTGTACAGCTGTTTAGTCATATTTAAGACTGCAAATAACATCTTCTGATGGGATTAGGGATGTCAGTACAGTATTTTGGAGACCTGGGAACAGAAACATTTGATGCATTTTAAGATTTCTTGCTGATTTGTTGTGATTGAATCATCCAATTTCTTGATCTTGAAGCATTGTTTCCACCTGTTAGTTGTTGTTTCATCTTGTTTGAGCTTTTGTTCTCTTAAATGGTTGTCTGCATGAACCGTCAATTGGACTTTCTAATATCTTCTTTCACTTGCCTTCAAATGGTCTTGTTTAGTCTAGTACATTCTACATGTTCTATTCAACCCTTTCCATTATTGTTATTTCTGCATCATTTATTTAGTCTCTTCTGAAATTTTGTTTTTCAAACAGTGCTTCTTGGTACCACTTCCTTTGATAACAATTGATTACAAAGTTTGATAACAGAATCAATAATTCTGTTATTGATAACAGAGTTTAAGTGTAGCACAAGTGGCTTCAGCTAAACTGTTTCGGTTCATTTATTGAGTGCACTCAAATAATGTGATAATTTCTGCTGGAATGCATCTTTCTGACTGTAAAATATTTGAATGCTGCAAATTTGTCCTCTTCTATCTGATATTGGTTTTTAACATTGAGATCACTGTACTAGTTTATATATCTATGGAGATTACTAGTCTATGATAATTTGCCAGTGTGGAGTAGTTGAGTATTGAGCACTCCATAAACAGAGATTGATTACTGGACAAAATAATATATTTCACTAACAATTGAAACATAGACTTTTGCAAATCCATTTTGACATTTCACTTTCTTTTGTATCCATGAAGAAAATACTTTATACTTTATCTTCCTGTGAATTCTATTCTTCTTTACACACACATAGATGCAGGCACACACTGCATATACATCCACCTTCACACACTCAGGCTTCAGTTCTAAAACTAAAAGGCTCTAATACTCATCTAGCCAACAAAAAATGTTCTTTTGTGCTGAAAGTTGTAACAAAACCTCCCATCGAAAGAGATAGGAAAACCTATTTTCTATACAAAATGTCAATATATAGCAGAAGACTTTTTATAAAGTTTGTTTAAATATTTCATTTGTATACCACCGACCTTTCCTAATATACCATAGGATATCTTCCCTCATTTTATTCCCACAAGAACTTGTGAGATAGATTGGATTGGAGGGAGAGGGAGAGGGAACTTCCAAATCCCTCACTGAGCTCTACTTTAAAAGCAGGAATACTCAATATACTTTTAATATAATGCTGAATTAATTAATGACTGGGTTACAGTTGAAATGCTGAAAGCTGGTAGTCACAGTTTACATAAGACACTAGCAAAATTATACTCGAGATGCCTCAGATGGCTTTTAGATGGCTAAAATGATATGATGATGATGATGATGATGATGATGATGATGATAATGATGATGATGGCAATTAATATGATTAAATCACAGGATAAAAGATAGTCAGAGGGGTTTTTTGGATCCTCATATTATACTAAGGTAATCAATCCATTACTGTCTCCATTTTTCCTTCATTTAAATCAGGGGATAATAGCTGATTTAAGCATTTTGGGTGATGATTCTGGTCTATTCAAAATAAATATATTCTTGTAATGGAAAAATACATACAGGTGGTAATACAGTATATCTATCTTTCCTTGGTAACTGCTCTGGTTCGGCAACAGGCTCTTGAAACTGTTTCAGTTGCTTCAGGTTTTTTAAGCTGACGTTTAATTGTGTTTGATGATTTTATTTATGATTGTTCAGGTTTTGGTTTAGTAACTTAGGTAAATAGTAGCATACACACGGTTTAATAAAAATATGATAGATTAGTCATGTTTGTCAGAGTCATAGCTAGAAAAGAAACTGATTTTTATACCAGGCTTCTGTCCAAAATTTTCTAAATTATTTTGATACAGATATGAAGGAATTTCAGGAGTATTGTGCACAGGAGAGATGAATGACAGATGGTTTAACAGTTACCATGACATGCATCTAACTTACACAAAGTATGTTCCTACCTTAATATATTAGGCAGCTGTTCACAGTGGAGCTATGACTAAAAATCTGAAAATCCCTGTTCAGAAAAATAACGAAACAACTAAACATTACATTTTTCAGTGTAGACTGCACATTTTTCCTGCCTTTGTACTAGATTGCCTTTACTAAAATCTACAGTTAGGTGGGCATTGCCATTAGATAAATAAACAGACATAGACCTTTGCAGAAATTTTCCACCCCTTGCTATAAGAAGATCTAGTCTAGTGTTCTTATGTTTTAAAGTTCTCTTTATTAAAACTTCTTCTGTTCCTTCTCTCAATTGCTAAATTTTCTTTCAACCCCCACAAATTCCTGCAGCTCCTAACTGCTTTATTTGTAATTCCTATGTTACTGCAATGTGACCAAGCTGCCACTGTTCTTTGAGCCTGCAGTAAATCAGCCTTCCAATTTCTGCCAGATGAGAAAATTTCAATTCTTCTTTAAACCCCTTCTTCAAGGCAAGATCCAAGGTATTGAATTAGGTGTGATCCACACATTCTTTTTTATTACAAGTTGGACATTGCCTAATTTAATTGAGTTTAAGTGTCCTTTTCCCCAGAGGAGTTGCTCAGTTGCTCTGTTTGGCAGGAAGATGCTTAGGTTCCTTTCCAACCAAACAAATGTCTGCTGAGGAACGAAAAAGAGGCAGGATTTATCAACAGTGCAAAAGACAACTGGCAAAAGAGTTTCATGTGCATGGAAGGTCATTTGAAGTACAAGGTCAGGGTGCCAGCTGGGTTGGATCTACCCAAAGGTGCTTTTTCAAAAGACGTTTTGTTTCTTATCCAAGAAGCCTCTTCAGAACTGTTCTTGGATGAGAAGTGAAATAACTTCAGAGAAAAACAAAGACCAGTTGCCTTTTGAAAAAGCATCTTTGGGACAATCATGACCTGGATGACTGAGAATCTCCATAGACATTTGGGATGGATCTAAGTGTGCTGTCCTAGAATTATAGCAGATGATCACAGGGGTTTACAAGATAAAATGTTGGATCATCTCCAGCTAGCCAGCTCTGTAACCTAAGTCTCAAGCTTTGGCATTAAAGCAACTAGTTTGTACTAGATTAATTCATAGTCCTGGTTAACCTGGGAGCAGTAATAGACCATTATTTCCAAGGAGTTATCTTTCCATGAAGTCTTGGGCTTCTATATCTTTCAACTTTATGGCTCTTAGCCCATTGTTTATAGTCTTGGGGACTTGTAAGATGCTAAGAAAGTTCATATTGCTGTCTGGAGAGCCTGCAGCTAACTCAATAATTGAGGCCATTTCCCCCTGGTTTTCCCTCTGGGTTCAGATTCCCAGGGTACTATTTATTCACTGGTGATGAGTCCTCTACAGGGACTCATCTGTCAGTCACTAACTATAGTGTCTGGGTTGATCTAACACATTAACCCAAGGCTAAACTTGATCAAAACATAGCTAACTTTTATAAACTTTAATTTGTAGCCAATTCAACAAACTGTGATGAAAGAAACATCACACTGCAGAACATGAATTTGTGGGCTATAAATTGTTCAGCTGTTTAGGTTTCATACACTATTTTGATGTTAGCATTATGATAACTAACATTTAATAAGAAGCTGTGGATCATCATGGCATGGATCTGCAATAACAATAAATGCTTCCTTTCATGTAGGAACTCTTTAAACTCAAATTAGATCTTTGGCTTCTCTTGTCAGCTTTGTTGTATCCAACCTTCTTGGATAACGTTCTGCTCAACAACAATGATTTCTGTGTCGCACATTTGCTTACACAGACCAATTATTTGCATTTAATAATAAAAAGATTTAGCTTCTTATTGATAGTCTTGTGCTGGACATTATTCCAGAACTGAAATAACCAAAGAAGGATTTACTGACATTTATAGATATTCTTCAAAATTGGGGACCTCTCAATCTAGATGACTGAAAAAGCAATCGCAAGGCATGGTTTGGGAAAGTAGCAAGCCTAGCTACTTTTCATAAGTAAATTCAAAATATAAAGGTTGAATGTTGGCCTCTTACAGAATAGAGCTTAATAAGAACTTGTGGATTTCATAGTTAAATTCAAAGACTTTCACAGATAAGTTAAAGCAGACAGTAAAGCAGGTTTAATTAACCTAGTGTAATCAAGATTACTTTAAGTTCTAAAAACTGAAAATTCTAAACATTCTTTTTAAATGTTGAAAACTATACAAATCTGTTGGAATTTAGTTTAACAGACAGAGATCTCGAAGTAACAGTAACCTTGATGATATTCTGATAGCTAAAGATTTCACAGTGCAGTAGATACCCATAAACTGAATTCTGGATGTTGGCAGTGCATACTTTGAAACACATGGAAAGAACCATAATTCTGTCAAGATAGCCTCAGACGCTACAGGATTTACCAGGGCTGCATTGTTCTGATATGTCTGTAAGCATCATCACCTTCAAAACCATACAGTCAGATTCATAGATAATACATACAGATGTTTTGCTTCTGCTTTACCAGAGTCTGGTGAACAGCAGGAGTGCTTGACACTTTAGGAGTCATCACTGGAAATGCATCTGTGTTTATGAAACTAGGTTAAAAGTGCACGTAAAATGAGAGAAACCTTTGTGACTTCATTCAAAGTTACACTGATGGATTGAAGGCATCACCTGCAGTAGCCTGCCAGGAAAGCATGATGTCTTCCATTACTCTTTCCTGTGTCATCATTTCTGTGTACTTAAATATGACGAGGAATAAACCTATTTCCCAATAAATATAGCAATAAGATCTCTATCGATTTACCCATACAATTCTCCATTAACAGTAGTGCCTTTAATGACACACAAGCCTTAAAGGCTATTAAGGTTGTGTCAAATAAATTGTTCTTCCTTTCCTAGTGCTCTCCCTTTGGACCTTTAGAGAAAACAATACAGATGAAACAGCTTTCTTAATTATGGTCCTCAACCGGGATTATTCCTGAAATGATACTCTGTAAATCCCTGCTTATAAAATTTTTCCAAATTTTCTAAATTCATTGTGACAAGATTGCCTGACTCTATACAGCTTATTGTTAAATTGTAGGTCTAGATCACGAATATGCATTGTAAGTTCCAAATACACTTGAGAAATATTTTTTTAAAAAAATTATTTTTATTTCTCATAAACACATTTACATGAACAGTCATTTCCATCATTTTTCATTTTTACTTTTTTGGGACTGCTCTTTTACCCTTTACCTTTACTCCAACTTTCTTCTTCTCCTCCCCTTCTCTTCCTTCCTCTCTCTTCTCCTACTTCCTTTGTTCTTTCTCTCCTTCTCTTTCCTACTTCCCCTTCTCTTCCCCCATTCCTCTCTCCTTCCCCCCTTCTAACCTTCTCCTCTACTCCTCTTTCCCCTCCCTTTTCTTCCTCTCCTTTTCCCTTTCTTCTTTCTCCTCTACTCTCTTCTCCCTTCCTCTCTCTCTACTCCTTCCCCTCTCTCCTATTGTTTCCCTTTTCAGTTCAATCTAAAGTAGTATTTGAGCAGCCCCGATTTTCTAATTATCTTTATTCTCATTTCAATTTCTTATTCAATTATTATTTATTTTTATTTCATCATTTGCATACATTTTTATAATATCTCACTTTTTTCCCTTTTACCCCCCCCCCTTTTCTCCTTTTTCTTGACATCATCTGGGTATCTATTTTTCTAATTGTTTTCTCCCATCTATTCTTTATCTATTTTATTTCTACATCCTTATTCATATTTCTTTTCTAACCAATCATAAAATTTATCCCATGTCTTGAAATACATCGACTCCTCTTTATCTTTTATTCTCAATGTTAATCTATTCATTTCTGCACATTCTAAAATTTTCTTTGTAATTTCTCCTTCCAACGGGATTTTATCTGCTTTCCAGTTTTGTGCAAATACAATTCTAGCCACTGTTATTATATGAATAATCAAATATATATCTTCTTTACTATATTTCTCTGGTACAATTCCCAATAAGAATATCTCTAGTTTTAACTCTATATGTTGCTGCAGCATTCCCTCTAACCATGTTTGTATTTTCACCCAATATTGTTTTGCTTCTTTACACAACCACCACATATGATAGTATGAACCCGGCAACTGGTGACATTTCCAACACTTAGCTGATTTATCTTTAAACATCTTAGCTAATCTTTCTGATGGCATATGCCAACTATAAAATCTCTTAAACACTTGAGAAATATGTAGAGCATTAGAAGTAGGTGGACTGTGAAATGTTTAGGCAAATAAACAACTATAATTTCCTATAAGACAGAGGAACAGCATAAAATTTAGCAGAAATGATTGGTCCATGGAAGGGAATCTCTCTGCCTGATCTGTTGCTCCATTGACTCACACACACACACACACACAGACAGAGAGAGAGAGAGAGAGAGAGAGAGAGAGAGAGAGAGAGAGAGAGAGGGAGGGAGAGAGAAACAGTGTCTCCACTGATTCATTAGAGAGGAAGTTTCTGAAATGTAATATCTCTATTATATCAGCTGCAATTAGCCAACATGAAATTGAATTCTGTTATTCTGTAGATAGAAGACTCTCAGCCTGCCTTTAGGAACAAGGTTAAATAGTAATTACAACTGCAATTTACAAGGTGCAGAAATATGATCCAAAAAGTAAGTACAGCTTTTCAAATTTGTTTCAGCTATTTTCTTAGTATTTCTATCAAGGCAAGCAACCTCATAACTTGCTCACTAAAGGCTCCTTAGGTAACAACAACAGTAATAGAGTTGGCAGCCACCATGGAGGTGTTCTTATTGTTGAGAATTCCAAGAATCAGATCGGCTGTCCATTAAAACTAAATTCACAGCAATTCAGGACCAGGAAAAAAAAGTCATTATTAACAGGCAGCCTAGCTAAACTTTGTGATGGTTTGATGATGGGCACAAAATTGAATGGTTTTAAAAGGAAATTGGACACAATCATAGAGGGACAATTGGCAGCGGAGAGTAGCCTAGGGAAGCCAGTTTATAGTTTGCAGAATCAAAGCCACATGGCTTAAATAACAACTGCTAAGATGTAGCAATATAAGAGGGAACTCTGCAGAAAGCTTTAAACAGTGAAAGGAATCAGTACAGAGAAAAACACGGAAGGCAGGAGTATACTTTTTATAAGAAAAAGCTGTGCTTGCATAAAGGTAAATAAAGATAAGCTTTATTTAGGAAATAACATGTTGATAGGAAAACCTTAGTCATTTAAAGCTGTCTACAGCTGAGAGAGGAAGGAAGTGATGAAAGCCCTGTGAATATCAGTCTAAGCACTAGGAAGCATTTTACATGGAGATGTTCAAAGTAAGTCTTTTAGATGAAGAAGAGAGATAAAAGTGCAGAACCATCCTCAATTAACTATCGTAATTCTAAATTTGTGGCCCCTAGTGGTCACTAAGTGTATAGGTACAGAAAGCCAGTGTGTGCAAAGTTGAATTTCAACTTTATCTCTTTCCTAACCATATTTGTGATTGCATTTGGTTAGCAATTATGAGACATGATTCTATGGATTATTACCCCAATCCAGCATAGCACTTTGTATATGATTCAGAATATTAATATATGGTTCAGGATATTATTTCTGCAGACTGAATCAATTTATTTTGCAGGGTATTACCATTTCTTGGTTGGTTCTATTTCTTGATGCCATTTGTTTGATAATTAAATGTACATTTTGGCTGCCTAAAGTATATGAATTGAAATTATTATTAAGTGAGAAAAGTTTGGAGTCTACAAATAAGCATCTGCTGTTATTAGATGGTAAATGCTATAAGCACTTGGAGCAACATTTTTCATCTGGAACTCAGAATCGAATTAAACTTCTACTAACACCATCAAGGCCCTAGATTCAGTAAATGCTGCAAGTAGGAATCATGGAAATGAGTAGAAGTAATTTTGAAGCAGTATTGTGTATGTTTAAATCAGAATTTTTCAAACTATGTCCCATCAATCCTAGGGTTCTATGAGAATGTGATAGGATTCCACAAGCAATTAAAGACCAAAAGAGATTTCTTGAACACAGTCAGTTTTCTATTAACAGATTAACAGATTAACAGAGTTGGAAGGGACCTTGTAAGTCATCTAGTCCAACCTCTCACCCAAGCAGGAGACCCTACACCATTTCTGACAAATGGCAGTCCAATCTCTTCTTGAAAGTCTCAAGTGATGAAGCTCCCACAACTTCCGAAGGCAAGCTGTCCCACTGGTTGATTGTTCTCACTGTCAGAAAATTTCTTTTTATTTCCAGGTTAAATCTTTCCTTGTTCAGTTTCCATCCATTATTCCTTGTCTGCCTACAAGCGATTTAGAAAATAGCTTGACCCTTCCTCTCTGTGGCAGCCCCCCAAATATTGGAAGACTGCTATCATGTCTCCCTTGGTCCTTCTCTTCACTAGACTAGCCATGCCCAGTTCCTGTAACCGTTCTTCATATGTTTTAGTCTCCAGTCCCCTAACCATCCTGGTTGCTCTTTTCTGCACTTTTTCTAGAGTCTCAACATCTTTTTTATAGTGTGGTGACCAAAACTGGATGCAGTACTCTAGGTGTGGTGTTACTAAGGCTTTATAGAGTGGTATTAGTACCTCACTCGATCTTGATTGTATCCCTCTGTTAATGCAATTTAGATTGCATTGGCCCTTTTGGTTGCCGCTGCACACTGCTGGCTCATATTTAATGGGTTGTCCACTAAGACTCCAAGATCCCTCTCACAGTTACTGCTATTAAGCCTGGTTTCACCCAGTCTATATGTGTACTTTTGGTGTTTCTTGCCTAAGTGTAGGACTTTACTTTTCTCTACATTGAAAAATATTTTTCAAACTATGTTACATCAATCCTAGGGTTCTATGAGAATATGATAGGGTTCCACAAACAAAAGTTATTTCTGGAACACAGTCAGTTTTCTATTACTAGAACTTTGTCCCCTGATCAGGGGTTTTAGACTATATTTTTTCAACTAACATGTTCTACAGCCTGAAAAAGTTTTGAACATCTCTGGTCTAATGAAGATATCAATTATATTGCAAACAATTGCAACCTTAGTGCAACTTTAATGTTGTCTACTTATCTAAGAGTTGGGTAAGTTGTGGCAATATTATTTAGGAAATGGTAGGAGAGAAATAAAATTTCTACTTTTCACTTCACAAAAGAGAGGCAGGAAGAATGGAAAGCTTCTGTTTTCTCAACTTTCTTTCAATTTGTTGCCTGATAATTTGATAGAAAGAGATGTGAGAAAATGATGGGATTCAATCATAATGAATTATATTTGTACATGAGGTAGGGCAAAGAGTTATTTGACCACTAGGTAAAGAAGGAAATTACTTTATGCAAATTCCCAGCAAGTCACCATTAAACAGTACCAGAATCTAAAATCCTAACCACAATGCTATAATTATGGTTTTCAGAATATAAGACTTGAAATGAAATGGTGAGTAATCTATCCATGACTCTTAGAGGAAATTTATCTACTAATGAGAGCTAACTGCTCTCTTGAAGTTGCATAGATATATGTACCTTGGACTGATTAATTTATGCTTATGTGAACAAACCTGGACAGGCGCAGTTGTAAAATACAAAAATAAGAGTACATGTTGAAAATAATTCCTTTTTATCACAACTGAATTACCAGCTCAAAACTGTTTAAAAATGCAAAGAAAAAAGAGATTCATGATAAGTTAAAACAAAATGCTGATTTTTTGTTTCTGTGATTTTCTATTGAGAATATGTTTCCTTGTTACAGATGATGCACAACTTATGTTGAATGAACATAAATGGTGGCCACAATTACAGATACAATCCAGATATGAAAAAGATAGGAAGGCATATGGGTTTTATAAGGAACCAAATGGGCTAGATCAGATGCTAATGGGAGCAGATGAAAAATTAATTAAGAGGATATATAATTATTTAATAACCATTAAATTGGAGGCAGAACAAGTAAAAGAAACTACCGTATGATCATTTGGGCTAAGAATTTTGGCTATACAATCGAATTAGACAAATGGCAGAAATTATGGAATAGAAACTACAAGCTTACAATATCAACAGCATATAAAGAAAATCTCTATAAAATGTTTTATAGATGGCACTTGTCACCTGCAAGAATAGCAAATACCGGTATGTACAAAGATAAATCTGTCAAATGTTGGAAATGTAACCAAACACAAGGTTCATATTATCACATGTGGTGGACGTGTCCCAAGCAAAAATATTGTAAGAAAATTTGCATATGGCTAGAAGCTATGATAAAACAACACAGAGACTTGAAACCTGAGATATTCCTGCTGGACATGCTACCAGAAAAGTATAATAAGGGTAATACATATTTAATTTTACATATTTTAACAGGATTGTATACACACAATACTGGGAAAATCAACAAACCCCCACAGATGAAAATATAATTAAAAAAAGAATGGAATGTGCAGAAATGGATAGGTTAATACTAAAAATTAAAGAAAAAAAATTCTGAATATTTTATGACATGGGAACTTTTTTACAAATGGTTAGTCGATAGATACAGAGATCAGATGGACGGGTTTATATAAAATATGGATTATACGAGAAAGAAAAATTGATTAGTAAACATTTTGATGCTTATATAATTGATGTTAATATGGAAAATAGTATACTTTATAACAATGATTGATAGTATCTACTATGTGCTTGTATGTTGATATGATCATAATGATTAGAAGGATGTTTAAATTTTAACACTTTTGTTACCTAGGAAACACACTGTTCAATTTAGAAATGGAATTTGTGATATAAAAACAATATTTTTAAAAAAATGTAAAGAAAAACTATATTCATAATAACTTAAAACAAAATGCTGATTTTTTGTTTCTGTGATTTCCTATTGAGAATATGTTTCCTTGTTACAGATGATGCACAACTTATGTTGAATGAAGGTGAAAATTCTTTGTAGGAAAAGAAGCAACTTCTTGTAACTTGTAGTAGAAATAATTGAGGATATTATAGTGGGAAAAAAATCATTCAATAGGCCTGATCTTTTACATATATAACATAGCCATCTTTTATACTTTTTCTTGAAAGTAGATTCCATTGAATACATTGAGATTTATTTAGGGGTAAGAATGCATAGAATGGTGTTGGAGGGGAAAAAAATCAGATAAAAATACTCCTCTTTAATGCAATACTATACAGTACACGTACAGTTGCTGGCAAACACTAGGAAGCATGTGATTAAAAAAGAAATCTTTGCATAAACAAAATATTGTTCATTTGTTCTCTTTTTTTTTCTGATGAAGCTGCAAAGGAAAGAAACACTGCTTCCACTTCTGCATTCAATGCATTGCATTTCATTATGTCCAAACCCCAAGCTTTGTCTAATCCTCATGGTTTATTGAAACAAGCCAACTTCTTGAAGCATTTGAATTTTCATTGTTATAAAAATCGTAATAAAAATAAACCACTGTTTTTCTAGGCATGGATAGTGACAGTAAAAAATAGTAGCTTCATAAAAAAAAAATCCAGCACTTCCTTGTGACCTTATTGGAAGATGAGCAGTTTGTTCACATCAGCATAAATCAGCATATATTATATCCAACCAAGGCCTGAGCATTTGCAATATGGAAGCTGCATCTCTACTGTTCAAATTGTGCGTATTTATT